AAGTTTACAGCTTTATTTGCAGCTCAGCACTTTTTTTTCCCCACTTAATCCGCTGTTTGAAGCGGTGTGAATCAGGCTCTGACAGAAGTCAGCGATTATTTTTCTTTCTTTTTTTTTTTTTTTTTTTTAAAAAGCTGTATTCCCAGGTGAATGCCCAGCGAACACTGCCCAACTCTCTCTTTTCTTCATAGTCTGCCACTGAACACAAAGCCACAAAAAAAAAAAAAAAAAAAAAAAGGTCCTTAAGACTATTCAGTCTGAGGGAACCAAAATCCATCTGCTAGAGAGGGGAACATCCACCCCTTCCAGTGAATCTGAAGAGGTGTTTCTGTTTCTCAGGAAACCTTGAGGTTTACTGAAGAGGGAAGCACTTTGTCTCCACCAACAGCTGAGACAACACAGGACAGAGGGGACAAAAACATGACAACAGCAAGGCAAGAAAGATGGATGCCTTTAGATGGGGAGCTGAGCAGCAAAGACCGGAAAGGGTGATGATACAGGTCAGTGCTTGCAGAAGCAGAGGTAAATCAAGGAGTCCAGAAATTAGAGGACTGACTGGGAATTTTCTCTCTATCAAATCTGAGGTTGTGCAAATTTCTATCTTTATAAATCTCTGACAGGCAATTCAGGATGTATTCATGACACCGCCGCCCAGAAGAGCAGGGTAAGATGGAGAGAAGGGCCGAAGATCAGTAACTTTACTGAGCTCCACCAGCAGCAAGAGAAAAGATCCCATCTCTGCATTTTCCTTTGGGGCTGAACGAACTCCCTTTGTGCCACCACAAAAGTCACCTGCCAATACACCTAAGGTCAGAACCGAGTGACACTTTGCCAGGCCTCTGTGATTGTAACGGGTACCAGATGTGCTAGTGCTGACCTGAACAGAAAATCTGGGCTACAAACTTACACGGGCAAGTTTTGAGGCCTCCCTCCGCACTTCTTCAGAGAGCAGAGACCCTGCATGCTGCTGAGCGCCCCAGCGGTGGGGAAGGGTGACAAGTCAAAAGCATGTAACTCACGGTATGAAGTGCTCCTGCTGGAAAGCAATTAAAAAAAAAAAAAAAAGGTAACTGCAATAACACACAAATATGGAAAACAGCGCAAAATTTGAGATCATATAGATTTGTTCCATACTTACACAAATGTCAACTGACCCTGACGCACCAAGACCAGCTTAAGTCCAACTCACCTTGCTCAGTCAGATGTTAGACAGGGTACAAACGCCCTCATTGACAAACGAAAACAGACTGTGAATGTTCTGAAAAGGCTGGCGTGCAAACTCCAGGAGCTGCTGTTCAGCCATCCCACAGCAGAGTCTAGCCAGAGCTATTTAAACACTCCTTTGAGCAGGCTGAGCCAATACAAATATTATAAACTGTGATTAGCAACCAAAGATCTGGTCTGAACACAACAAAAGAAAAGAAAAACTGACCTGCTCGGTATTTCATCACCCCTGACATTTAGAAAATTTGCTTAAATCTCTCAGCATAGTTTGTAATACGATGTGGAGCTACAGGAAAACAAGACATCAAAACACTCCTGAGAGGGTAAGTTCAAGACTGACTCTTTCCAACCGTGCCTTTATTCAACTTTCCTTCTTGGGAAAACCCCTAGCAGATGTCTCTCTGCATAGCATGGGGCTTCTTGGCCATGACTTGGCTTCCAGACCTGAGCTTGCTTCGCTACGTTCTCACTCCCACTCCTGTTCTCATCTTCATCCAGCAATGCTCGTGCTGGAGCAGGACAACAGCTTTAGAAAGTCAGAGGAAGAGGTTGAAGAGAGTTTGAAGAGTGATGTTTTGTGCTCAGGACCATTGACATTCCTCCCTTCAGATCACCTCCCTGCGTTATTGTCTGCAAAAGGGATCCATTAAGCAGCTGTCCCTGCCCTATTCGCTTGCTAAGTTGGTTTCATGATTATTCTGGGAGAAGGAAATAGTTCAGTGTAGACATGAACTCATTTGGATTGGTGCCCTCAGGCAAACACAGCGACAGTGGAAACCTTATGCATATGAGGTATAATAAGCCGGAAGGGAAAGGAGGCCAGATTTCGGGGAGTAAACTGCTTACTATAAGCTAGATGAGCACAGCAGCACCACCAGATAAGAGCGAGATTGCTCATTACCACAGCACAAAGCCCAAAATTAAGAATTACCCGCATGCAGGTCCTTGCTGAGTTGCATACCTAACTCAGAAGTTTTACTAAATTCCGGTCCGCGTCTTTCTTGTATTCTCCAGCCAAGACTCTTTTGAAGTTTGGCTTTCAGTGCTTCCACCACTGCAAAGCAGAAGGGATTGTCAGGAATTCTCTTTATCAGGAGTCCTGTCAAAGTGCTCCATTTCACTCAAGCCTACATGACAACATAAAACTGGGAAGGCGGGGGGAAGGGGGAAGAGATCCAAGTGTAAGTGCATTCAGTCCAAGTAACCGACCAGCAGAAAAATTTTATTTAGAAAAAAAAGGGACTCCATCCTCTAGAAGATAAACATCATAATTTGTGCATTAATTATAGCTCATTTACCTTCCTTATCCAAAGGTCTGCATTTCCTCCTCCCAACTGGATTTAGAAGCAAAGGCCAGAGCCTTTATACAAACAAGCTAATGGACTCTAATGGCCTTACCCTGATGCAATGTCGTTTAATCACAGCAGCACTTCATTTTCTCTGCTGTATTCAGGGAAGGAAAAAAAAACAACAAATAAATAAAGACTGCATCCACATTCAACCGTCTCATCTAAACATCTCTTATTTCAGTTTTCAAATTCCATTATTCTCATTGGAGTTGAATTTTCTCATGCTTTCATCTTAGTAGACTCCTTCCTCTCCCTTAAAATTAAGAAAAAAAAAAATCCGTCTTTTTAGCTCCCTATATTTCTCAGATCACTTTTCATTAAGTAGTTCCAAAAAAGTAATTCATATCCTTATTTTATAGTAGTTACTGGGGTTTTGTGCATTGTTTTCTCAACTCTAAATTTACTTCATAGGAAAACAGTCCATATTTAAGAAAAATTATTCCCGATATAATAACACTATTTTCACTTTTCATTTAAAGTGCCTAGTACTCAAGCAATGCTCCAAAAACCAGGAACCGGCGACCAAAAGAACCCCAACAAACGAAACACAACCAAACATACACAGATCCCATAACCTAACACTGCATTCGCTTTTTAAAGCCTCTCCATCTTCCATTCCCAACTGTCCCCAAATCCCGTTCCCACCACACGTGGTTCCTTTTTGGTTGCATTCTCTCTCCTTATCTCTGTTCCTATTTGTTTGGCTTACTCTTTACTCCACACACTCCCAATTCGTTGTCACGACAATTCTTTCTCCGTGGGAGTGGACTGGAGACCCAATCGGACAGTACCGTCACCGGGGATTTTCTACACCCTGAGTAAACAAAACTAATCTGTCCAATTTCTTCTCCAGAACTTTTACCTCTTTAGCCCACTGGGGCCACCCGCTCCATCTTTTCCTCTCCCCTCTCTCTCTTCTCTCGTCACTTCAGAAGGTGGGTAGGTGCTTTCTCACAGCATTTCTCCTTGGCAAGTACCACTCAGTCTGCTTTGCCTTACTCTCAGTTGTGCCCCATCCAAGAGGCCTGGTTTTAATCTCATGGTTACAGGAAGGGTATCAAGTAAATAATTAATGCTGGCACTCCACCAATCCCACCCATTTCACTAACAGGTTAATATCACATGTGCACTCCACCCCATCCTACTCATAAGATTTAATTCTTGGGCTCTTTTCCTGTCCTGTCGCTTTGTTTCTGCAATCCACTCTGTGTTTGATCCTTCCCTGGAACTCATCACTACATTTAACGCTCAGCGACTTCTCTGTATCTCTACCCCATGTCTCTGCTCACCCACAGGACCCTCCTTTTCCTCTCTCCTTAGTCCACACAGACTCTTACCATCGCATCTCTACTTGCGTTCCCCATCATAACTTCTTTTCTTTCACTTGGCTCAAGCTCTTGACAAAAATCCCACTAATATTTAGAAAGAACCAGGGTGCTTAGCATGGCTAGGAAGAACGGAGTAGGAAGTAACACACGTACAGTAAAACCTACAGCTCTTCCCAAAAGGTGTCATTTGTCACAAGGCGTGACAAGGCACTGGGGCCAAACCTCACGGCGCAGTACCAGAGCAGGCTGTCTTTAATCTATCCATCCCGGGGTCAACGTGAACATCTACAGAACACAAAGGTGGAAGACCAGACCACCTCACCTCCCCCTAAACAAAAAAAAAGCACCACATCTGTTCGTCAAGGTAAATGAAGGAACAAGAAAGCAGGTGAAGAAGCCAGAAGAGTTGTAGCTGCCAAGTTATTTCAAACAAAAACTAAAGTGCCAGCCATTCAATCCATTCCTTGGCTCCTTTCAACTGTATAAGCAGTGTTATTGTACAGGCAATTATTTCTGTACGTACTATTTTTCCTCAGGCACTTAGTGTTCCCTTGCTTTTGCCAGAGTTGTCCATCTATTACAGCACCTAACAAATCCGGGCGCAATTGCGACATTTTCTTGATAGTCTGCTACATAAGTGTTAAGGAAATCACCAAGTAAAGCCTTTTGCTTCTGAAATTCTGAAACGTGTTGTCACTGAATGCCACACGGTAGAGTGCAACTGCTCTGTAAGTCAACATTGTGTCTCAAACGAAGCATTACAAGAAATACTTAAATCACATTTTATTTTTCAAATTCAAAAATAACAATTAGCTTTATTTAACATGTTACACATCTCACAGATTTAAAATATCATGCTCTATTTAAATATCTGAGTGACAACACTATACAAATAAAATGTTACACAAAATATATTTAAGAAAATGTTTTGGTCTTCAATCTGAACAATAAATAGACAGGCACTTCTACATATACAAAGGAAGCAACCACTATTTAGAATAACTCTTATAAGCAAGATGTGGAAATACAGAAGAAAATCTGAGTTTTGAGAACATGTTTAACTACATGAGACATCATGCAACTTCAAAGTTTGTTTCAAAATTCGAAACTCTTCGGATCTGCACAATTCTAGATTTGCTACCGCTTTATAGGAGATCCAAACCATGCTCTCGTAAGCAATGTGCAATTTCAGTTATTTGCATCAAAACAAGCTACCTGATCACACTTAGTGCCAAAACAGAAAACAAGGATTGACCAGAGTAGCTTTTCACATAAATAACAAGAGCAACAAGTCAGCTCTATCTCAGGTAAGCTTGGGGCAGGGATCAGAGCTGACTGTACCTACTGCCCAGCCCCAACCAAAACCTGTTCTTCCTTTTCCTTATATATTCAGCTCTTTTATGGGGCATTTTAAACTGTATTATGTTTTTGTTTTTGGTTTTTTTTAACCCAAAAAAGCATCATCTAATAAATGGGTAAATCCTTCAGGCACAGGCACGCTTTGCACAAAAGATCATAAGGAAAAAAATACTGTTCCGGGGTGCAAAAAGACTGAAAACTATAAGTTTTAAAAAAAAAAAAAACAACCAACCAATAGTTAAAGTCTTAAGAGTGTTTCATACTTAAACTACATTCCTCCAATTTGTGAATTTTCAATTTACAGTGGTTTCCACACACCCACACACAAACACTAGTCAAGGAAAAAGTATCTTCCACCATCACAATTAATGAAAGATGCATTGTAGTAGGCAATCCCTGTTTCCAATACAGCTAAACCAGTCACTGACAGCTAGTCACATCCTTGAAGTCCTTTTTAAAATTAATTTTAAGACAAATATTGAAACATAATGACCACCAGGACAGTGGAAAAGTCAGGACCAAGTCTTCAAGCCATTCCCTCAAATTTTAGTATTATTCTCATTTTCAAAAGCACAGGAAAAAGTTTCCAGAGAAAATTAAACTATTAAACAGAGCTTCAATGGTCCACCAAGAAAGTCAGACCCAACCTTGGAAAGTTATTTGGACTTAAGACACCTATGCACATTACTTTAACAATTTAAGTGTGGATCTTGCAAGCGTGTCCAAATCTTAATCATTTCTTGAGGTTTTCTACTATGTACTAACATTAAGTTTGTGTAGGAGCATATGTTATTTCTGTATTTCTCTTCGATATCAAATGTTTTGAAGCCTTTATGTTTTTCCGGAGCAAGCCCAAGCTTCTGAAGGCACATTCCAGTATAAACATCATCAATGGGGTAAAGGAGTACCTGGTCAGACGCATTATTCAGTCTTAATGCCAGATCACCAGAGTACAGAAACCCACCACCTCCTGCATATGGAGGATACGAACCTTCATAAACACTTTCTGGGATGTAGTACTTCAAATTTTTTTCTCTATGAGGTCCAGCATCTTTGATCACATCGCCTACAAATAAGTCTTTGGCTTTGTCCTTTGATAAGCTCTTCAAGTAATCCAGGATCTGATGGGTATTCACAAAAACATCATCATCACCCTTAAAAATAAACTGGACATCTGCGCAGCTGCTGCTGACCCACTTAAGAAACAGCACCTCTTTCAGAGTTAAATTGAAGAAAGTGTCTCTGTAGTTCCAGAGGAGAATGTCTTGGTAGGTTTCACTCTCAAATTTTATCATGTGTGAAAGATCAGGAAAATTATCCTCCGGTGAGGTCTGTCCAAGTAAGAAGACCCGTTTGACTGTCACATCCCCTGATTCTATTTCCTTGCCCCAGGATTCCCTAATTGCTTGCCTTCTATCAAAATGGGGTGTAAGTGACTTAATAGCCAGCAGCAGAAAAGGTTTATGTTTGCATTTGTTTGGCTGATCCATTAACAACGAATAATTTCTACACCTCAAATAAAGTAGAAAGTCTTTGAATCTGTCTGGCAAGTTTGCAAAGTCACTAACCTCTGAAGGTACCCATGGGTCAGGGTCACAGGAACTGAGAACACTTGAGTTCAAAACCAAGTTCTCTTCCACGGTCATATTGGAAAGCAAGGTCAGAATAGGGTTGTACAGCAGTTCAAGCTTCTGTTGCTGTTTGTTCCAATAAGCTTTGTGAGGAGTGTATTTTCTCCAGAATTTGGTGCGTGGTATAATAACACGGCCCTTTGCATTCTTCTCTTGGCTGCCACTTTTCGAGACTTCCACAATCACGTAAATAAAAATGTTTACCATCATCAAAATTCCCAACAGCTTTAATCTTCTGCGTCCAACACTCATTTCTCATATCTGGAAAGAGAAAAAAAAAATGACAGATTTTCTTAGCCTTCCTCCTATCAAGTTATTGATCTCATAAAGATGCAAAACTACTTTCAGACAAAGAATATGCAAGTTAGTAGCCTCAAAATAGAGGTTATCTACACCCAAAAAAGCACAAAACCTCATCTACCTATAATACATGCACACCTACAGCTAGCAGGGGTTTGGGGGTTCATCAGCAAACAAGCTGGTAAGAATGTAAAATTTCCACTTGCGACTTAGGAATTTTACATATCATTTCACAGAGCGTCTAAATTAGCCAGCAGTTTTTGCTCCTCATTGAAGTCTCCTTGAAATAGTTGACTATAATAATTAGAATCTGAGCCCTCAGCTTGGCAAAGGCAGGCAGAGAAACTTTTTTTCTGCTAGTAAGGTGAGCTTAAGGGTACAGAGTAAATCGCTACATGATAATGTCAGTTATTTTTAAGTTAAGTTTCAAGCTTTTATACTTGCGCTCTTATACCTTCCAAATACATAATAGGCAGAGCTGAATTTTAAAGCATACAATTCGTTTCTGTCCATTTCACTTGGCTGTTGCTTGGGAGAGAGGCTGACAAAACTGGCCAGCTGCACTGCTGGTATTCAGATCTCTGCAGACAGAAGAGAACACGAATTTTGGTTTTGATTTCTTTTTTTTCTTCCAAGTAGAAAAGGAAATGAATGGCAGCAGAAAGTGAAAGTGTAGCTATTCCTAGGAAGGACAAAGAAACTGAAGAGAAATCAAAACAGGAGAGGTTTCCCATATATGTAAGACCAGGAATAGTAAGTCTACCTCCCTCTGTTGTAGCAAAGGTTATTCTGTGACTCATCTCCAGTTTTCAATGAGAGAGAAAATAGATCAATCCCTCTTTCTTCCACAGCTGTCAGAATGGAAGGTGCATGGTACAAGGAGCAACATGGAAACAGTGTGTTCCTCTAAAGTAGTACTTATCAAACTGTTTACTAGCCACAGGGGATATCAATGTACAAGCTACACAAAATTTAACAAACCATTCTAAATCCGGAAGTCAGACTAGAAAATAATTCAGAACGAATAAGAAAGTTAGTAGGACTACATTTAAGTCAAGATAAAGAACTCATCGTCAAAGACGCTTTCAATTGCCAGGAGTAGAAATGGTTATTGGAAGACCAGAAAAACCTTAATGAAATAAAAGATCTGTAATGGCTGGTAAGCTCAGCTGTAGACACCACCTCAGAGGTCCAGAAATCGCAGAGCAACAGCCTTCAGGAAGGTACACTTGAGAAGTACACCTTGTACTTGCTCTTCTTTCCATTTTATTTCCGGCCACCACCAGACACCAGTCAGCCATCGCTAGGCTGACCCATGGTCTCTTCTGGTTTGACCAGTCTGACTTTCTTTTACTCCTCAGCAAGTTAAACACAAAATTTAGTAAGAAAGCAGCAGGTAAACAATCACATGGGGTCCCCCCCCCATTTGACCTCTGGATTCTCATTAAATCTAAAGGGGGGGGAATATTTTTGAATTGAAATAAAAAGCCACTCCTAGAAATAAAGACTACTCAGAGGAAAACCCCTGCTCTTCCTTCATTTGACCTCATGTACCATCTGCATATTTATCTTTGCATACTACTTTATTTAACGTCCTGTTCTCAGCCAGCTATGAAGTTTGCTGTTCTAATTTTAAAGCAGTTTTCTTCTACACCACAAAGACAAAAACATACTTGTGGTCAGTGCCATCATTTAAGCTAAACAGCCAAACTGTCAGAAAGTACTGGCCGGCCACCCAGAGTTCAAAGAAACTTTATCTTCCCCTTTCAACTGCCACAGCAACTTCCACTAAACAGATCATTATATACTATTTTCCTCCACTTCCCTTTCAGTACACACAAAAATACTGGAGAAGCAGCTGTCCCGTGTTTTGTACTACTCCACGCAGATCAGCACGCTCATCAGTGCTTATCTAGCCTGCCGTCTATAGATAGCACTTCTCCCCAAAACAACAAATGACGCAGTATTTAACCAATGATGCCAGGACCCCCGAGTAATGGACAGAAAGAAGCAGCAGCCCCCCCCCCAAAGTAACAGCTAACACACACAGGATTGTCAAGAGCTCAGCCAGAGCCTGATTTTCCAGGATATGTAGCACTATACAGCTCATCTGTTCACAGCCCCCAGCTACTCAGCTGAGCATTCAACACCTCTAAGTCATCTGGGTGCTTGACCTGAGATTGGAGACACCATTTGCAAAGACTTTATTTCAATCACTTTACCAAATCCTTCAAATCACATCTTTTGGGTAAGCACTCAAATTCTGTAACTACAAGATCTTCCTTAATCTTCCTGGTTTTCACTTGCACACTTGCAATCCCCTGCAGAAAACGAGACAGGGATCCTACGCAGAAAAATCTCCATTTGCTGTTAAGACTTGGTAGAACTTGCCATCAGAAAAAGTACCAGTCTGGCGAGATGATAGTGGTTCCACCACATAAAGCATGGTAAATGCTACCAATCCCACATGTATCCCACTTCCAGTATGATTTTCAGTCTCCTTTTTAAACAGTTATTCAATATTGGGGATAAAATTCATATTTCTGAGAAAAGATAGGTAACGAGTCACATTCATTCTCAAAACAGCTAAGAGTTTTGTAAGACATGAACAACCCCTCACAATTTTGCATGAAAGTATTCTTCTCTTCTGTAATCAAAAGCTACCTATATGTGCTTTTATCAATTCGTTAAGACTATAACTCAGTAAGAATATCAAACCAATATTAAGGGCTACCAAATGAAAAAGGGATAAAGACTGCTTTGTTAAAAAAGTGTCCTTTTTCTAAACTAGACAAAGACAGGTTGTATTTAACATTTACTCACAGCGTTAGATACAAGTTCCTGAACTAAAAGCAAATAGAAAACAATCAGACTTCAGGAACTGAAATTAAATCCTCCACTTTGCAATTAATATGTATTAGCTTTAATCATTACACCTGAAGACAGGAATTAATAAAAGGATGGAGTTTGGCAATTTCACATCAAGTCAACTGGATTTATCATGAAACAGTATTACAACTCTCATCACAATGGCGTGCACGTGTGTTGCATTTGTAATGTTGTTGCTAGTGGGGGTTTGGGGCTTTTTGGTTTGGGGGTTTTTTTGTTTTTGTTTTTTCCTGGGTTAGTTTTTTGTTTGTTTGTTTTTCTTTTTAAAGTAAACACCCAGTGCCCATGTCTCAAGGCAAATCTCATTTCTTCATCTGCTTTGCTGACACTACAGTCATTGACCCAAGTGCCAGCATGATGGAGAACTGTGCACTGGGCAGCTTGCTAAGGAGCAGCATTGCGAAGCACAAGACAGCGCCTGTTTCCTGCTTACAGCTTAGCAACAGCGATCTGGACAGATCACAAGAACTTTCTCCTATTCCAGTAATAGCTTCTTCTATCAGCATTAATATTACAAAAATTCCCAGCTGCTTCCTTTGACTGCTGAGAATGGAAGGTCTGCTAGGGAAGCCAAAAAACAAACTAAAAGGGATCTGGTTCGTACTTAAATCTGATGCATTTTTATATGAGTTTTGTTGAAGAACTGAGATGAGCAGTACAAAGCAATACTTTTAAAAATTCCTGCACTGTTTTAGGTGTTTAAAAAAAAGAAATAGGTAGAACATGTAGCTAGCTAGCAGAAAAAGCAGAACGCAAGAGTAAACACTGTATGTTGGTAAAGCAAATCAGCGCACACAGAACCTCAGGAACAGAAAATCTTGCAGGAATTTATTCCAACTTCAGCAGGTAAGGTGAAGAGTTACCTATGCTCAAAGGTTGTCTGACACAGTTTTTTGATGCCTGTTTTCAACTTTTCAGCTACACTGATACAAAGACCACTTTGGCAATCAGTTCAAATTTGTACAAATCGCCACATTTCTGCTTATGCAACTTCCAGTTGTGCCGAGTTATGCGTCAGAATCACTGCATACATAAAGTCCATTTGTTCAAAGCCTTTAGAAAACATGCATATGGCTAGGAAAGAAAAAAGGGTTAACATTAACCATACTCTGGATAAACCAAGGTTCTGATACAGATACAGTATTTGGAAAGGTTGATTCTGCAGGGAGAGAGGGGAAAGAGGGAGGAGTTGCCCTCTTCAGCTCCACTCCGCTCTTACACTTCCCTGCAGTCAAAACTAAGGTATTGATAAAAGGGAATAGATTTATGGAGCCACAAAAGCAGTTCTGGGATCAAGAGATGGATGGAAAAGGCAAGCCAGCAGAACCTGAAAAGAAAAACAGCTTCACTGTGGGACCAGGCAGCCATCAATAAAATAAGATGAACCACAACAGAAGAAGAAAACAGGTATTACAAAGAAGCCATGAGCTACAGGAAAATATTCCAAATGCACCAAAAGCTGTAAGTCCCAATAACATTAATGCAAAACGGTGAGAAACTGTTCACAGGTTGTTTTTAAACAGTATTATTTTATGCTTTATCTCAAGAGTGATTGTATTGCACATGCCTGCAAGGAACCTATTCAGAAGCTTGGAAGAGCTGGTGCAAAATGAGAATCAGCATCACAGAACCACTCTCCTGAGCTAGAAGGGATCTATGAGGATCCAGGCCAACTCTTGACTCCACACAGGACAACTTAAAAGTTAAACCATATATCCAAGAGCTTCTTGAACACAGAGTATGCGCACTCCATCCAGTTCCAGGAATTAATTATCCAAGAGATGCTCTTTTCTGGGAACAAGAATTTACACAAACAGGGGCCATGATGCTCCCTGACAAAAGACAAGGGGTTACATCTGGAGGAGGCCAAGCTCAAGGTCAAAACCAAAAACATCCAAGTGTACCAGCCCCTAACTAAGGGCACACGACTTATCAGTTTGAATTTCTCACGTTGGATTTCGGATCCTGCAGAAGAATTCTGATTATCCCCGTTACAGCAGTAGATTTTCTGTAATGACTTCACAAAGTTAGTATGTGAAACATGTGATGACAGCTTTAACTTTGGTTTGTTTTTGTTTTTTTTTTAAACTGATGCTACTGAGACATCGCCATGCACAAAAATAAGCTTTAACCTCTAACTGAGGTTTAGCTA